TCTGTACAGACGAAGTTGTGGGGTGCGGGGGTGGGAGAGGGCGCGGCGGCGGCAGGCCCTCCCCTTCCAAACTTCCCACCCGCATCCGCCCCGTCCCCAGGGGGGATGCCCCTGGCAGCGGGAAGTACTCCCCCAGCTCCTGAGACCCCGGGGTGTTGGTGGCGGAGGCAGGGGCCGAAGAAGCCGCCGCGCTGTCCACCACTTCGCTCAACATGCGCGTCATGCGCTGTTTCTCGTGCCGGTAGCGGTCGATTTCCACCTCCATTGTCGCTTCCTTGTAGTCACGGGCCTGGAGCTTGTTCTTGTAGGCCGTCAATTCCCTCTTCAAGCCAAGAAGCAGGCGCTCGTACCGTTGCTTTTCCGCCCGCAAAGCCGCCGCTTCTTCCTCCAAACCCTCCAGCCGTTTGTGGCACGCATGGATTTCTTCGGCCTGGAAAGCATAGCGGTCCTCAGCCAAATGCAACTTCTCCAATATCTGCCCCATCAACAAGGCTTGCGTGTCTTCCACACTGGTAGGTACCCCCTTCCTTGGGCCCGCCCCCGTGCTGGCAGGAAACGCCAGAGAGGGCAGGTCGGCGTAGGAGGTGGAAGAGGATGAGGCGGCCGAGGCAAGGCTTCCACCGAGCGGTTCCACAGAGGGGAAAAGCGTCGAGGTGGCGGAAGCCACAAGGCTGCTCAAATAGGCGTATACACCTTGTATATCGTGGGAAGTGCCGGGGCCCTCTTCGCTGATGGCGGCCTGGGTCGTGGAAAACGCACCCGGAGCGATGCCCCTGCTGGCGATATTGGTTACGCCGCTGGCTTGATCATCGGAGACAGGGGCAGTCTCGTCCTCCAACGCGAGCATTCGCCCTTCCTTTTCCTCGGTTTCGCGCACTTCCTCCATCTGGAAATCCGGCCCGCTCCCTCCCAGGTCGCATCCTGTCACGTGGCCAAGGAGGCTCCGCAAGGCTTCGATGTGGTGACCAGCACGCCGGTTCTCCGCGTGCAACCTGTCGATGCTTCTGCTCAAGTCTTTCAGCTTGCGACTTTGTTCCAGCACGGTGGTCTGCAAGGCCCCGACCAGGGCTTCTTGCTGCATTCTGTCGTCCTGCTGATGCCTGCTGCTGCTCGCCTCGCTCCCAGGAACAAGACGGGGGCGCCCGTCGACGTCATTGGCCAGAGCACAAGACGGCTCCAAGAGCAAATCGATCTGCGTCTGAGAATCGGACCTTGGCTTGGTCTCGAAGGAGGATTGTCGACGCACGCCCCGTTTCCACAGGCGCTTCACGTAGGCCATTTTGATGGCTTATCTGCGAGGGTCCTGTTAGAGATTCGCGGGACTAGATCCAATAATCCGCGCGAAACACTGGTGCCCTCTTGATTTCCAGCGGCACATATGCCCAGCCTGTTGCGATGACCCGTGTTAACCCGAAATGAAGCGAAGTGAGGGAAATCAGCCCAGTCACGGACAAAAGCAGGCACCCTTTTGCGACGCCGGCGAGAAAGGAACGTCTGATTCGTTTCCCCGCCTTACGCCGCCTGTTCAGGGATTACAGCCCTCAATCTACGGTACCCGTCCGCCTCCGCACGAGGCAAGCAGGACAAGGGCAAAGAGCACGCATGACGTGACTTGCATGTGGCATGGGAAAATAACGGTGGACGGCATTTTTGTTTGAGAACACGTCGACGGGCCTGGTCACGTGATGGAGCCCTATCACTGGCGACAGTCTCGCTCGATCTTTTGGCAGCCCCCCGGAAAAAAACATAAGACAACACCAAACGGACGAAGGCGACTCTTCAGGGTGAGAAATTCAGAGTGTTTAAAATTGCGGCGCGAGTCTCAACGAGGGCTTTGGATCTTTTTTAGGATGTACTCTTTGCTTCGAACCCTTGGGTGTGACGCACCGCGGAGTGGTCACTGTCATAAGGGGGCGTACAGCAGAGATATAAGGCCGTGCGGGTGTATTCTTGCCGCGCTTGCCAAATGATTGCTTCATATGATAAAGTGGAGGATGCATCGCGTACGTTTTGTCGATGAATCATTTTTCGATGCCGACATGTTTGAGAATGTACCATACTTCCTCAGGATAGAGGAGGTTACAAACCATTAGCACACGCTTGTCACCTAATTGAACCCTGTACGTCAATCACAGATGGTACCAATCGACTTCTATTGTGCTCATTGACATCGTCCATGGACACACCTTCCTTGCCTTGTCTGCCTGAGCATTTGCGAGGTCCTCTCTCCCAGCTCGTCGAAGCCCGGTATATCAACAACGTGGAGGAGGCGGCTGGCTGGCGCGAGCTGCTTCGGGAGGAAGAAAATGCAGACGGCACAGAGGTCTACGTGGCAGCACGTGACATCCAGGCGGAGGAGACGGTGTTTTTGATCGACCACCTGTGGTGCACTACCCTATTCGCGGCACGTGCTCATTTACAAGCCCACCGGCATATTCGCAGCAACATGCGATACATATGCGGGCTCGAGGAGGACGAGGAAGAAAACGAGAGCTTTCCTGATCAACTGTCAGATACTGAGAGCACGACGTGGGAGGACACTGTGTCGGGAAATGAAGCATTGCCAAGCTTAGGGTCAAAAGAAGACATTGCAAAATACATCCTGCAGCACACAAGAAACGCAGAGCTAGACTTGGACGCCATCATACCTCGGCGATCCCAAGCAGCCTTCCGATTCCTGAAAGGCGTGCTTGAAGCCATTCCGTGCGCTGTACCGGGCCTAGAGACGCTGAGTTTGCGTGAGAATTGTCTCGACGGGGCCTGTGTGCCTGCCCTACGGCGGTGCCTTCAGCTGCTTCCCTCGTTGAAGGCCGTATGGCTGAACGAGAACCCTGGCCTTTACGACGACGCGCAGGATCCCTACGCAAATTTGACCGGTATCTTTGACGGGAAGCTTCTGGAGACGCGGCTAGAAATTGTCAACCGTCGGCTGACGCCTGCTTATGGAAAGTGGGCGATACGTTACTTGGGGGAGGTGGGAGAGGCGGAGAGGAGGGAAAAGGCGGAGAATCGTACTGGAATATCAACTGTGGAAATGGATCGCCCTCTCATCGTCGCGTTGGACTTGTCGGATCGGCAGTTGCCGTCCTTGAAACCCGCAATATTTATGACCGAGCTGCCCAAGCTCAGACGTCTGGACCTGCGGGGGAACCCCCTTTTGACAACCCCTCAGACGCCCCGGGCCTGGGAATCACTTTTGTACCCCACATTACATGCCCTCCCTTGCCTAGAGTCTTTGTGGGTGGACGACCCCGTCATCATTTCCATCGTGGCTTCGGCAGAGCAGGGGCCACCGGGTCCGGCACGGGAGGAGGAGAGTGCTGACAAGGCCGATGCCGATTGGGAAGAGGCACTTGCCCGGACCTTCCCACAGCTGGGATGGATCAACGGCCGGAGCATCGTCCGCTATGCCGAGATGGGCCATGGCACCCAGATCGTCGTGAGCAAGGAGGGGGGAACCGTGGCAGAGAGCATGGACAAGATCGTGGCGAACATGTGGCCCCACATGGAGCCCCTCCGGTTGGCCGCGTCCGAAAAATGTCACCCGGAGGTATACTGGTACGCCATGGACGTACCGGGACAACGAATTCGCCACCATGCGTCCGGCAGGGGCGGTCCGGGACTGTCCTTTCTCCCCATGCAAGATCGTGGGGTGGGCGTCTCCTTTACGGCGGCCTGGCCTCGCTGCACGCTCGAGGCGGGGCAGGAGGTCACCCGTGACGTGCTCGCTGGTTTTCCTCGACCACCTGCATGGGACACGGACGGGTCGGACTGGGAGAGTTTGCAAAAGAGGGTCTTACAGGCTCTGGGGAGGGGGGAAGACGGCTGCTCGCATGGTCAGGATCCAGGAGGGTCGGTCGTGAGGGAGGAGTTGGGGGGGGATTGCGCGTCGGAGGGACGCCGCCAAGGCCGGCGAAGTGAGGCGATAGATGCAAACGACGGGGCAGAGTCCTCCATGGCTTCACGAGGCCGAGCGCCGGCGTTTCCGATACCGGTGGGAGGGCGCACCTTCCCTCCTTCGCGCCCTCTCTCCGTGTACACGGACATGCCCGTCCTCGCACACAGCTTGGACTTGCCTGCCCGCTTCTATCTCACCGACCATGCTCAGGACGCTGACATCTTGTGGGCGACGCCGGCCTTTTTCGCTTCCCACGTCCCGCAGTCGGCCCGGGGCCGGAGGCAGTGGAAAGCAACCCTGCCCTTCCTGGGGGAGGTGGACGATAAATGCCAGCTGGTGCACCTGCTGACTCGGTTCTCCCACACACGGTCCCAGCTCTCTATACCCTGGCTGCCTCGCTCCTACTGCCTTCCCGAGGACCTTCCGCGGCTTCTCGATGACTGGGAGACCCCTTCCTCCCGCCCGCCCTCCGCCCCGCCCTCGACCTGGATCCTCAAACCCCCCCATCTGGCTCGAGGATGGGATATTGCTCTCACTCGCTCCCTACCCTGTATCCTTCGGCATTTGCAAGCGTCGGGGAGGCTACTTGTCTCAGACTACCTGACTTCTCCAGACCTGTGGCTCGACGGACACAAGTACGACCTGCGCATGTACGTATTGCTCCTCAGCCCCTCCCTCGTCTTGATCCACAGACAATTCCGAGTTCGGAGGGCTAGCCAGCCATATTCAATGGCGTTGGAACATTTGGAGGATTTGAGAATACACCTGACCAATACTACTTTGGGCCTCAGCGGGCTGGGACAAGCGGACGCGGGAGGCGAGGAAGGGCATGGATGCCCGACGGAGACCGTCTCCTGCCTCGACTTTGTGGAGAAGTGGGAAAGCCTGCACCCTGGACGTGAAGGCTGGGAGGGTGTGCGTCGACGCATCGACAGCATGTTGGCTTGCGTGTCTTCCACACTGGTAGGTACCC